AATTGACATTGGGTCCCAAAAAAATATCTGCACTCCCATGTGCATTGGAGCATTATTCACAATAGCCAAGATCTGGAAACAACCTAAGTGTCCATCAATGGGCAAATGGAAAAAAATAAAATAAAAGAATGTGGTACATCTACACATTGGAATGTTATTCAGCCTTTAAAAAGAAGGAAACCCTGCTATCTGCAATAACATGAGTGAACATTATGCTAAGGTAAATTAGCCGGTCACAAATATTGTAGGATTCCACATACATGAGGTGTCTAAAGTAGCCAAGTTCTTAGAAGTATGGAGTAGAATGGTGGTTGCCAAAGGCCAGAGGAAGGAGAAGAGCTGTTGTTACAATGTACAGTTTCCGTTAGGCAAGATGAGTAAGTTCTAGAGATCTGCTGCATAATATTGTGCCTATAATTAACAATGCTGTATTGATTACTGAAATTTTTGTTAAGATAGATCTCACATGAAGTGTCATTAATAGAATTTTGAAAAAAAATTCTCAGCCTAGGACATGCTCACAGATTTCAGAGAGAAAGGAAGGAAGAGAGAGGCAGAGAGAGAAGCATTGATGTGACAGAGAAACATCAATCAGTTGCCTCCCTGACTTGCCCCGACCAGGGACTAAACTGCAACTTAAGTGTGTGCCCTGACAGGGAATCAAACCCACAACCTTTCGGTGCACGGGACAGTGTTCTGACCAATTGAACCACCCAGCTAGGGCTTAATACAATTTCCTTTTTTAAAAGGTACTCTGCAGACTTATCTCCACTCCTTCCTCACCGGAGTGCTGCCAGCGCACACATACTCTCATGAGAAGTTGTGTCTTGATTCACATCCCAGTCCCTCATCCAATTCTACAGTCCCTAAATCCAAGCCTTAGAAGCCAGATATGTCTTGGAATCCAGAGTTTGCAATGTGATGTATGTAGCATATTGTGAAATAGAATATACATATTGGTCTCCATGCCTGGTTCCTGATACAGAGCTCCCAAACCCTTGTACATTCCTCAATAATAAGAACACAGTTGGCCTAAAGAGGCAATTCTGGGATGACTCCTGGATGGAGGCTGTCACCAGAAAAACCAAGCCATGATCAGAAGCTGGGAATTTTCAGCTTCCAACCCAATCCTCCAGAGAGGGGAGAGGGTTGGAAATGGAGTTAATAATTGATCCTACCTACGTGAGGAAACCTCCATGAAATACTGATAGTAGGGGGTTTGGGGAGATTCCAGTTGGTGAACACATCCACGCAGGGAAGAGGACCCCCCAACCACCAACTCCAAGGGAACAGAAGCTCCTGCACTCAGGACCCTCCCAGGCCTCTTCACCTGTCTGTTCATCTGTATTCTTTCTCATACTCTGTAAAACACTGGTAAATGCAAGCCAGTGTTTCCCTGTGTTCTGTGAGCAAATTCATTGAATCCAAGAAGGGGGTCATTGGGACTTTTAATTTACAGCGGGTTGATCAGGAGCACAGGTTATATATATCGTGGGCTTTCCATTGGCCTCTGAAGAGGGAGGGGTGGGGGAGGAGCAGTCTTGGAGGCCCCAGCCCTTAACCTGCAGGATCTAATGCTATCATTAGAAATGGTGTGAGGATTAGTTGGATTCTCAGACACCCAGCGGTGTCTAAGAATTGCTGGTTTGCATGCTGGGGCGGGGGAGGGGGGAATCTACATATTTGGTATCAGAGTTGTCAGAAACAAAGTGTTTTGTGTGGGTAGCAAAGGAGACTCACAGAAGAGAAACACACAAAGGAAGAACCGGGTTTTTCCCTAACAAGAAAGGAAAAAACTGAGAGTTTTAACTTTACAAATATATTACCCCACCCAGGGCTTCTGGGACAGCCCTGATAATCAAGCATACTAACATCCTTGTTTTATGAGTATTCCAACTAAGGAATAAATAAAGACCGTAAACACATCCACATGGGTTCAGTCATTTTGGGCTATCAAAGGAGAGGGAGTGTCGGCGGGGCTGGTTTCTTCTGAGGGCTCTGGAGAAAGGATTTGTTCCAGGCCTGACTCTTTGGCATGTAGATGGCCATCTTCACACTTACATAACATTTTCCCTGTGTGTGTTGGGGCAGGAGCATGCGTGTTTGTGTGTGTGTATCTCCAAATTTCCCTCTCTTACAAGAACACCGGTCATATTTGATTAGGACCGAGCCCAATGACATCATTTTAATTTAATTACCTCTGTAAAGATCCTGTCTCCAAATACGGTCACATTCTGAAGTCCTGGGAGTTAGAAATTCAACATATGAATTGGGGAGAGGGCACAATTCAACCCAAACTTTTATGTATACTATGAGGTCACTGGGAATTGGCTAGCATTCCAGGAAGTCTGGCTCTAGAACTTATACTGTGAACCACACTACCTGTTATTGGATGTGTGACTTAGGTTAACCTCCCTGGGCCTCAGTTTCCTTGCCTGTAAAATTAGAATAAAAATAAAAGAGTACCTTCCTGATGGAGTCCTTGCAAAGCAATTAGTGTCTGGGCCCAGTAAACATTAATAAATGTCAACCATGGTTATTGTTGCTACTGTAGAATTCCATCTGCATATCTTCAGTCTTGGTAACATCCTACGGATGCTTGGGACCCAAGCATTCTTGTTGTGGAATACCCCCAGACACAACATAACCCAGAAAGTAGGATAGTCTTTCAGATCGCAAAGCCACCAGGGAAGACACCAACAGCCTTGAAGACCTGCATCCTTGGGGACACCATATTAAAGGTCATTTAGCAGCATGGAACAGAACCTACCCCAGAAGGAAAATCAGTGGAGGAAACTCAAGCTTCTCATGGCCCCCAAGGTGAGAGACTAGATGTACTGGGTTAGTGTCCCCTCAAGGCTCATATTCTCCCTAGAACCTCAGATTATTACTTTATTTGGAAACAGTCTTTGCGAATGTAATTAAATTAAGAGGTGGGCCCTACATCCAATGTGACTTATGCTTATAGGAAGAGAAGAGAAACAAAGACAGAGACAAACAGAGGGAAGAGGCCACTCGAAGATGGAGCAGAGATATGAACAGCACAGCTGTTAAGCAAGGAACACCAAGGACTGTGGGCCACAACTGGAAGCTGGAAGAGGCAGGGAAGGCTTCTTCCTTAGAGCCTTTGGAGGGAGCGTGGCCCTGCCAACACCTTGATTTTCAATTTTGTGCCTCCAGAACAGGGAGACAATACATGTCTGTTGTATTAAGCCACCCAGTTTGTGGGACTTTGTTAAAGCAGCCCCAGGAAACTACAGGGAGGGATAAGAGTAGGGCTAACAGTTGTTCATATGGAAAATGATACAATAATTAATAAATAATAATACAAGAAGGAATGTGTTTTTTCGCACTCACAACGGTAAACCTACTTTTGCTCTGCCCTGTATTAGGGTTTTCCAAAAGGCATAGTGTATCCCACACCACCAGAAGGAGTCAAGGAGGAAACCTAGGTCTTTCCTCTGTTTCTCTAGTGTTCTGTGGTCTCACCTGTGAAATCCAGTGCATCTTCCTCTCCTTTCTCTCTGCATATAAGCCTTTTCATGCTTCTCTCTCCTATAGAGGTTGGAGTTCTTGACTAACACTGTCTGAAGCCAGGCCTGCACATTCTCTGTAGAGATTTGCCCTGCTTGAATCTCATGTCCACCCTGGCCTGATCAGCTGTGCCATAGGGAGGCATCATATGGTGCTAAGGGTGTTATTCAATAGGCAACAACCAGTGTAGCCAAACGCTGACCAATTAGATTTGACACTGGTCCTGGGCCAAGAATTCTGGAAACCACCTTTCCCCTACAAACTCTAGGGATGCATTCTAGGGTTAAGGCTTTGGATGCTTGGTCACAAGGGCCATCTTATGTGTCCAGAGGAAGTACCCAGGAATGAGGACTGGGATTAACAGATACTTGCCAACCAGCATATAACTGGTTTAATAATTTAATGACTAGTATGGCCATATTTAATGTCAGTTCTGCCCACTTAAGAGGGACAAACCCCTTGAGGAGTAGAGATGGGACAAGCCAATGCAATTCACCTCCACTTCCATACCTTCTCTGTCCATCCCATACCCTCGTGTCTAGCCACTGCAGGCCAAATTCTCCCACCTCTTCCTTGCTCAACCCCATTCCTCTTCTTAAAACCCATCAAAGTCTGCTCTGCAGAGAATTCTCTGTCCATGCAGCCCCTTTTGTCCTAGATGTGTAAGGAGAGCCAGGGTCCAGCCAGTTTATATGGGCCAGTGGGTGCAAGTTCTGCATGGTGACAAAAATTATGGGGCTGGGGGAACTGGCCAGGTCTTCAGAGAGGGACAGTGTGCTGGTGCATATTTAACAAGCAGCTCTCCAGAGCGGGGAATGAAGTCTTGTGTTTATTATAAATTTTACATAAATTATTGTAGCACACCCCATTGACAGTAAAAATTAAAACATTCTTTATTGCAAATTCTATATATTCAGTTGGTTCTTAGAGAAGGCCCTAATCTTTATCACTCTTGTACACATAGCAAACGCTATGTACAAGTGACAAACAAGCTGCATTTTCCTTAAAAGGCTAAGATAAAATGGACCAAAGATTTATGTCTACACTTCACTTGATTGTACATGACACGTACAGTTTCTTTAATAAATCAGATAATGGTTTGAAAACACCAGATGAGTAGACTTACTTGATTTTTTTTCTTTGCATGTTATTCACAATGTAATGGGTACACAGTACACTCTCCTAAGTCTAGTTTACATGTTTAACATCGGTTTCTCCTTCACTTAAGTCTAGGTGACCAACAGGCAATAAAGCAAGCCCTGACTTGTAGCTTTTGCTGATTCCATGGCTGATATTAAGTTACTGGTGTGAAGTCATGGAACAGAGCTGGCAAGCAATGCCCTGAAGAACTGCATTCTATGGTATTTCCACTATGCACTTACCATAAAGGAAAATAATCTCGAGAGTATATAAAATGGAAATAATAAAATCCTCAAAGAATAGGGTAGTTATGAATCTCAAATAACACTGTCTGGAGCACAGTAAATGGTCAATGCATAGTCATCCTGAAATTCCATTTTATTATCCAGTACAATACACCATTTTGCAGGGTCCCCCTGGCCCAGTCATAGCAGCTCTCACACAATCATAACCCAAGTCAAACCTGCCTGTTAGCTGTCAGCCTGGCAACAGCTGGGGTTTTGGTCTGTCTGGTTAACAGCTATGTCCTCAACACCTAAAACAGTGCCTGACACATAGTAGATACTCAAAGTGCAAGTTACATGAATGAGCAAAACCCAAACAACAAAGAATTCTGCGACCCCCTAAAAGCTAGCCCACAAATTCCAGAGGGGGGCTAGAAGTGAATCTTCATTTCTCACATATTAACATAAATAAGGATTTTGGGGGGGTCCGTTTTGTTTGCTTTTGTTTCTTCAGCCCTGCACAGTACCTGCCATGCAGTAGGTGATCAATAAATATGTTGAATATATTAATATAAAGTCTACTGTCTGAGCTCAGGCTCGCAATAAATATCAAGGGTTTGAGTTGAGGCAGAAGTGACAGAGGGACAAGGACAGTCATTGCATAGGGGGTCAGCAGCCAGAAGACCTGTCCGGTCAGGTGAGGTAGAGACGCCAGGGCCCCAAGAAAGCAAGGCCGGGTTCATTCTCCCTGCAGTGGGCAGCAACCCCGCCTGCCTCACAGAGTCCGTCCTGCCTCGTGAAGGCTGTCAGGAATGGAATCCACCAGGAACCTTGGTGGCCACTCGGTAGAGGCCCAAGACTGTGGCACCTTGTGCAAGCTGCCAGGCGAGGTGCACCTCGCTCGCAGCCCTGAGGTGGACACCCAAGCGCTGTCCAGCACTCAGGCGCAGCAGGCGGCCCCGGAAGCCAGCTGCTGAGTCCCGGCCTTCAGGGGATGGAGAGGGCAGGTCCAAGGTCAGGGCCAGAGCTGCGGCCTTTGCACCCAGGGGCTGCAGGTGCAGGGCAACGGAGACCGAGCCAGAGCCAGCACGGGCCACCACACGTTGCAGTTCCAGGTGCAAGAAGACATAGTAGATGCCAGCCTCAGCCACCACCAGCTCCTGCGTGTGCTCATCGTAACTCAGGCCGGGAGCCAAGAACACTCCTTTCAAGCCAGGGTCGCTGTACCAGTGCAGGAGGCCATCCTTCAGCTGCGCTGCAGGGGGAGGAGAGGGCAGAAGCTGAGCAAAGCTGTGGGCAGAGCCACAGCCCTGGAGAGGGGGTGCAGGGGCTCTGAGGAGGAAACAGGTCCCCAGAGGGAGGTGGGGCTGGGGGATCACAGGGAGGAAGGGAATCGAGGGCGCGGGAAGGCCGTCAGGAAGAGGGAGAGGGAAAGAGGACTCCTGAGAGGTGCAGGGGTAGAGGGTGAGAGACTTCCAGGAACAGAGAGGTGCTAGAGAAGGAGGTGTAATACAATGGGGGAGGGGCGCTGGGCGGCAGGTTCTGCGGGATGGAAAAACGGGGTTTAGAAAGGGAGGTGAGGGAAATGGAGGGATGGGATAGAATGAAGGAGCGGACTCAGAATGAGGAGGCAGAAGGGAGAGTGGGGCGGTCTCAGGAAGGGTGAAGAGGAGAGAGGGGCGGGGAGGAGCGTGGAAAAGAGGAAAAGGGGAAGGAAGGAGGGAAAGCAAGTGGGAAGGAGAGCGTAGAACTTACAGAGCCCTTGTGAGAGACCAGCCCAGGCTGGGGTCTGCGGATGCAGCCCCGGGGCTGAGAAGGTGCGTTTTAGGTGGGCCGACAGGCGTCATCAGCTGAGGAGCAGAGGGAACCCAGAGGTCAGACAGAGAGACTGGTGAGGTGAGAAGAGGTGAGAAGACAGCTTTCAGAGAGGGAAGGGGTAGAGGGTCAGATTGAGTCAGAGGGAGGACCCCTTAGCGTCCCCAGGGGGACAGGGATGGTACAGGACACTTACCATCTTGGGCCACCAGCTGCGCAAACACGCCCTGGCCCTGAGGAAGAAACGCAGAAAGTGGATGGAGGGTCCCCAAACAGCTTTCCACAGCCCCCTGAAAAGTGCCACCACATCACCCACCCCACCCCCGCCGCCGGCATCTGCGCAGGCCTTGAGCCTACTACGCGCTCCTTTCCCCTGCTCCGAAAGAACACAGCAACACACACGCACCACCCACGATGGGGGCTCAACCGGCCCCAACCCGTGGGTTCTGCAAGGAGCGCACCCTCCAGGATTTCAGGACGGAGAAGAAGCAAGATCCGTCCAGGTGTCCTTGGAACAGGGAGAGAGAGAAAAAGGAGAGCATCCCAGGAGTCCCGGAGAAAACCTAGCTTCTCCGGGAGTTAGGAAAGAAAGTGTGGGTCAATGGGTCGAAGCGCCCCTCAGGGTCCACCAGGGAGAAAGGGTCCCGTCCGAGGGTGCGGGATGCAGAGTCTCACGGGGGTACGAGATGAGAAAGGGTGTCCCCCGAAGTCCTGAATAACGAAGGCTGCGCTCAGGGGCCCGAGAGGGACGAACTGTTTGTCGTCCCGTGGTGCAGAAGGGCGTCACCCCGGGGGTGAGGGAGGGAGAGGTGGTCCCGAGTGAGGGCTCATCTCACCTGCGTGGTGTCAGGGAGCCGGGGGCGGGCGTCGGGAAGGAGCTCAGGGACCTCGGGGAGTCTCGAGGTGGGCGCGGGGCTGGGGCCGGGCGAAGCGGAGCCCCCGGGCACGACCCAGACGCGGATGACGCCGGCGGCGATGGCGGCGGCGATCAGCAGCAGCGCGGCGCTCACGGCCCAGGGCACCGGGCGACAGGAGTGGCCGGGGGACGCAGGTGTCTGCGCGGCCTCGGGGTCCGGGACGGCTTCCGAGCTGGAGCTCATGGCCGGCGGGAGGCGGCTGCGACCGAGGCTCGGGGCTCCGCGCCTTATACAGGGTGCTGAAGCCCCGCTTTCCGGGGCGGAGTCCCTGGGGACCCCAGCGCCCGCCCCCTCCGGCCGAGCTTTCCCGTTATAACTTTCTCTTCTCAGGATCTCCATCTCTCGTCTCTTTTCTCTCTTTCGACCTCTGATCTCTGCCCCACCGTTTCTTTTTTTCTCCCGAGTCCTCTCTCTCTGCCTCTCTGGGTGCCTCTTTGCAATTCCGTGTCTCTCCTTTTATCTGTGTATCCCCCGCAATTTGTCCCCGGACTCGTTCACTGCCTCTGTGGATTGTGTCTCTGCCTGAGGTCGCACGGGATTTTTCTACCCCTCAGCATGTCTGCGTCTCCCTCTGGCTCTGTGTCAGTCTCTGTCTCCCTCTCTCCTCTCCTCTGCCTGTCCCCCTCCGCCGCGGTGCCTCTCCTTGCCCTCTCCCTTTGCTCCCACTCTCTCTCTTCCTCCCTCTCCTTCTCGCTCTCATTTTCCGAGTCTCTGTGTCCCTTTGTCTCTTTCCCCTCCTTCCTGTCACTCCCACCCAGGCTCCCCAGAGACACCCTCAGTCCAGCAGTTCTGCAGAAGGGTCAGAGGACAGCCAGGCCTCAGGTGCCTTCTGCTCTGGAGCATAAGCCCCCAGCAGACCCTTGAGTGCCATATTCAGCCCTCCCCACGCCCTTTCTCACCTTCTCCAGGACCCCGGGCCCTTCCCTGGCCAGCCCCCACCCACCCACCTAGGCCGCTTCCTGTCAGGAGCCCCCTGTGGACCCCAGAAGCGGAAGGCTGGAGAGTCCAGGTAGAGAAATTCCCCTTGCAGGAAAAGGACACTTGAGCAAGGCAGAGGAAACTCAAATTTCCCTTTCACTCAGGCGGGGGTGGGAGGAGGAGCAGAGAAGCGGTCAAAACTTGACCCAAAAGAGGAAGCGACCCTGGATTGAGAGATGGGAAGAAAGTCCTGGACTCCTACAGAAGGCCTGCTCCACCCAGACCAGCCAGGTGGACACTGGCCGACCCCCTGACCGGCTGCAGGCCTCACTGTCGCCGTGTGAAATGGGAAGTTGGGCCTGGCCATCAGTCTTAGGCCTCCGCTAACAAACCAGGAAACACGGAGGGGAATTTCAGTATCAGATGCCACCCTGAGCTCGACTTTCTTACATCGGGCCTTGCTGGGGAATTACAGAAAAAATACCGTGATACCGGCTTATGTTGATGCGCAGGTGCTAAACCCTTCCGTTATTCAAGCGGTTATGAAGTGTGATGTCCAAACCAAAAAAACAGCAGTGGCAGCATCACCTAGGGAGTCGTTAGCTATGCAAATTCTAGCACCTCAATCTATTGATCTGAAACCGAAAAAGCCCAGCAGTTGGCATTTAAATGCATCCTCAAGAAGATTCTGATGCTTGCCCAGGCTGGAGAACCCGCCGCCTTTTATCAAGGTTGTTCCTTCACGCCTGCAGTCCCTCGGACTGGAATGTTCTTCCCCAGATGGGCATCCGGCCTTGGTTCCAGCTGTCCTGGATCAAGACGATGAATGGAACCTCTGCTTTCACTCTCTTCTGAAACCCTACCGCAGTGAGAGTTCAGTGACTATTTTAAAACCCCAAACGAAATGGTAAGTCCTCAAGGTGGAAAGCCAAATGCTATTTCCCTCTTGGAATCTTACCACCGCCACCACCCCCAAGTTCAGTTATTGGTGACTCCCGCCAACTCCAAAGGAAAGTGTGATGAGTAGTGGCTAAAATGGAAGAGTTTGCTGAAAGTAAATTCCCAAAAGAGATATCAGCTTTTCTCCTGTTAACCAAAAAATAAAAGGCCTTTCCAAGCGAGAGGCAACAAGCATTTATTTGAAATAAAAAAGAATAGCTATTCAGGATACACTGATTCAGGCAGAAGCCCAAATAGTGTTCCCATCGGAGACAAAGGCAACAGGTATTTATGAAAAGGGAAAGGGGAAAAATTACCTCAATAGACAGAAGACATTTCTATTGGTGCAGATAAGATAGTGATGTTAATGCTAAACAAGGTTTTCAATTTTCAGTCCAATAGTCATTAGTCCAGTAGCCATCACATCTGCTTTCTTTACAAAGAGTTTTTTGGGGAAACAAAGTTGCTTAAGTTCAGCCCAAAGGTTATTGTGCCTGTTTTAACCTTCCAAAGGTGTGAGGCATAAGACGTGCAAGGCAGCAAGGCAGTTTCTCTGGCCTCGCAGCTCTGGTTCCATTTTAAAGTGGACCCATTTTTTTCTTTTCTTTCTCTCTTTTTTTTTTACACTCCCCATCAAGGTAGGAAAGTATCTAAGTGGTTTTTTTGTTGTTGTTTTTCTTCCTCCAGAGGGTGAAAATAGCAGCATTTCTGGTCAGAGGAACAGCAGTAAATGGTGGAAGAATCACTCTGAACACAGGAATATTAAGAAAACCTGGGAACTTGAATGCAGGAGCTAAAACTTCCCCACCTCAACCCTCACCAGACTCAGCATGAGGACCCAGAAGATGGGATGGCGAAAGCCCCATCTGCGAGGGTTCTGGCCAACCAGGAAGAAAGATTGAAAGATACTGAGGCCAAAAGGCCCTCCCCGCCTTATCACTGCCCTGCCAAGAAGCCAATCTGTTTATTATTAAGCCCACGCCCACAGCAGGCCACATCCAAAGATTGCCAAACTGACAAAAAGAACAAAAAAGAGGAATTCAGAGAACACCAAAGATTAACATCTCAGACAGCCCAAATGAAGTTTCCCCTCCCTCAGCCCTGTTACATCACCCACCAAATTTCCTTACTAGCCGTTTTTGCCATCTGGGATATTCTTGTTTGATTGGTTTTTTGTTTGTTTACTTGCTTACAATTATTTTCCCCACAAAAGTGTTATCTCCTGAAGAGGAGCATCATCATCTGCTTTGTTTCCATTCTACTTCCAGTGCCTAGAAAATTGCAGGCCTCAATATTATTTGTTGAATGAATAGGCTCTAGAGATCAAAAAACTACAGTCCAAAAGCTTTCTTGTTTGATTTTTTTTGGTTGTAAGTGACTGGAAACAGTCGAAAGAAGAGGATCTCCTGATGTACAAATTATATGAAATTCAAATTTCACTGTCCACAAATAAATTTTATTGGTACACAGCCACACTCCTTCATTTATACATTGCCTTACAGCAGCTTTTGCAATAATAGAAGGGTTGAGTAGTTGTGACAAAAATTGGCCCACAGAGCCCAAAATATTTACTCTCTCTGGGCCATTTCAGTAAAAAAAAATTGCTGCCTTAGTTTCGTAATTTCTTGCTGTGGGCAAGCAGCTTCACCCCTCTGAGCCTCATGTTTTACATCTGTTAATGGGAATAATAGTAGATCTCAAAGGGCAGTTGAGAGCTTTCTGTGAGCAGTGACAGGCACATTGTGAGGGCTCAAAAAACGTGAGCTTAATGGTCACTGAACATTTTCTGCAATTCTGTACGTCACCATCCCCAACATGTGGGTGTAGAAACTGACTCCCCAAGTTGAAGCCATTTAGCCAAGGAATCACAGTGGGTGTTCTGAACTCTCAACACTGAGGGGCTTGTCATAGTTCTGTACACCCCCTCCAAGGAGGGGAAACAGAGCCTGGAAGCCTGGGGAAGGCTCAGGCCGCAGCCAGGGAGCACCGTGACGTATTGTTGTGGTTGGGACATCTGAGCCAGGCAGCCCCGCCTACCATGGAGGAGCTAGCTGTCAGCACTACCTCCTAGCACCTCTGTGCTCAGCTGTCTCGCTGAGGTCAGCGTGGGCCTGTTTTTCTCATCTCTAGGGGCAGGGTCTGAACCCTCACACTCATCAAAATAGGGCTCAATGGAGGGACTGGGCAGGAAGCAGTTGAAAGGGGGAAGCTCCCATATTCCATATCTGAGGCCCAAAGAATAGGCACCCAGGCTCTAGAAGGTGTGACTTGATTTTTTCCTAGAAAACCTCATTTCCTTTTCTCTGGTTTCCCCATTGCCCCCATCCCCTGCATGTGGCCTCCCTCAGTGTCAACTTAACTGGCCTGGATCCTCTGTCTCCCCCATGGCAGGGGCAAAGCCTAACAGAAAATATTAGTGATGTTTGCTGAGTAAGAGCATAAGCAAGTGAATAAAGGACCTGGGGCTGGGAGGATGTGAATTGAGAAAAAGAGAAAAAAGGGAAGGAAAGAATTGAGTGAGGTCTGTGAGAGTGGTAACATGTGTCGAAGAAGGAATGAGGCACAGAGATGGGACTGTGTTATCTACATTGTCTATGTTAGCCAAGTCCCTGGAAATCTGGGTCTGAGACAGGCCAGAAGAACACAGGGGTGGCACGTGTGCACACCCATGGTGTTGTGTAAACACTGCAAGGCATGGTGGTGCAAAACACTGAAGCTTTGTGGAGCTGTGGTGCATCCCTGACTCTAGACTTGTGTGTTTCCGATGTGATGTTGTGTGTTCAGAGGTGAGAAAATGGGTGTCCCTGTGTTCATGGATGTGTTTCCAATTGAGAAACAGCAAATAGCACAGAAGGCTTCAGATCCCAGCTTTGCCTCTTGCTAGCTGTGTGATTTTGTGCTAATTCTCTCACCTCTATGTTCCTTGCTTTTCTCATCTGGGATGTGTGGTTAACACTGTGACCACCTTGCAGGATTATTGTCAAGAATAGGGAACCAGAGCAGCATCTGGCGTACATTAGGTGCTCTGTTCGGTTAGCTATCATGGCTGCCGATGGCACTGACAGTCTGGTGGCTCCATGTGATTACATGTAGGGATTGACCTTGTGAATGAACAACCAGGATCCAAAAAAACTATTGCGGACATCTATGGCAAAAGTATTCGAATGAAAATAGCCAAAACAGTCATTGAAAGCAAAATCATCAGGTTCAGTAATCACAGATGTGAGGGTTGAGTCATCTCTCTTGGGCTATATAGAAATTTCTAAGGGTTAAGAAAACAAAGTGCTACCTATAGAATGTGGGGTTTGTTTCAGAATAGAGGTACATTAGCACAGTGTGT